AGCCGGGCTGCTGTGGGGGAGCAAGCAGCGCAAGCGGCCGTTTGGGCCCCGCACTCCCCATGCAGCATGGGCCACCCAGAGGGAACAGCCCGCATTTCAGGCAACAGCACCCCGCAGAGGGAACAGCCAGCATTTCAGGCAACAGTGCCCCCTTCTCCTCCCTCCCCCAGAGGGAACAGCCAGCATTTCAATGTTACAGACACTGGGCTACTATATATATGATTGTGTGATTGACTACACATTGATATCCCTAATCTGGATTAAGACAGGAAATACAAATAAACTGTCTCCAGTTGGTTTTTAGCTGAAGTCAGTAATTTTCAATGACATCACTTGTTCATTAAAGGTATAAAAAATAAACTCATTGCTAATACCTGCCTGATCACATTGGAGCTGAGCAGTATTTTGTTACTGAATTGGGTGTAGTGATAGCTTATTTTCAGGCATGCTTAGAGCAGTTGCATAAAGTTCCATTTGTCCCATGGCGTTCATAAAGAAATCTACGGTTAAATTGGTGTCTGGGGATTTTCCATATTAATAATTTCAGCAAGAAGATGAAGACTCAGTCTGTGGCTTGTGGAATACTGTTGGTGGACTCCCAGACCATGAGTGCAGCGGGGCTGGGTTTTCACTACAAATTAGTAGGACTTAAACCCTGTATCCCGGCATGACTCAGTCTTGGATCCTTCCACCCCCATGATTTCTGTGACCCTATGTCAGGATTAAGTTTGATTCTGAGTACAAACCCTGGGCTCACATTGTAGTGAAGATGTACCCTCAGTCATGAACAATGGCTCCATTGTACTAGTGACTGTTCAATTGGTATGTCAGGGCCATAATTAGGAATATAACCTAGAACGCCTCTTCCAGTGTTTTAACTTAAGGCAACTTTTCCCCTCAAATTTTATAAATCTTTTAATAAAATAAAAAATGGTGTCACTTGCTTGGAAACTTAATATCTTGAGTATAAACATTGAAATAATTGTGAATGGAAGCTGGAGGTGTTCTGTTGTCCTGTATTGGTGTTTCAAGGTGGTGTTTTTGTTTGTTTTTTGTTTCTGTAGACCTCTTTAAAATTAGTAATCCAAGCTTGAATCTCCATTTTCTTGCTCCTTTTGTGATTATGTCTACTGAGCTACTGGGTTAGATTGCACCTGATGGCCACTCTGTTTAAATGTCAAGTAATTCATATACTCTTTTGATGCTGATTTCATGTAGACTGTTAAAAAGAACAACGCTTAGTATTTCACTGTGTTAAAAGAACTTTCCTTAACTTCAAATTCTTTGTTTTGCAGTATGCTCTGAAAAAGCCCTTTGCTGTCCTGTACAAAAAGTAAGTTACATTTTGCAATTTTAGCATTGTTTGATAAAGATGGGCTTAATATTTTCAGAGAGAAACTAGAAAGGTGCCATGCTGGCTAATAAAGTGTATTTAAAAAAAATCTGGCTGCAAAATGTGGTGATTTTAAATTATTTTGACAGTCTAGAAAAAGTCTGAGTCCAATCATATTTATCAAAATACATGAAATAAGTTTGCAGAGGGGCAAGATATTGATTAACTTCAATGATGATGATCCAAATCTGTGTGAATAGCTGATGAGATATGGCAGCAGTTAAGCTTGGCAAAGATTGAGTTGAAAGAGTAACATTACATCTGTAAAAGGTAAATTTGCAAGTAGTCTCAGTAGGAAATATGCGTATACAAAATAGGGAGCCATTGGGTGGAAAGTTATAATCCATATACTTGGATGTACTACTTCATGAAAATCTAGGAATATTAAATGTGACGTAGATGAAAAGGCAAAAACAACTGTAAGTTATATTATGATGCCTGGAAGGCAAACCTTCATGTTGTGGATGCCAGTTTATTGCCTTTCTTGGAATACAGGCAGTCCCCGACATACGCAGATCCGACTTACGTCGGATCCGCACTTACGAACGGGGCTTTCTCGCCCCGGAGGTCGAGGTGGCGGATTGCTACCTGCGAGCTCCGGGGCGAGAGAGCCCCGTTCGTAAGCTGCTCCGGTGCCCCTGGTCTGCTGGAGACCGCAGTCTTCAGCAGTGACTGAATCTGGACGCCAGTTCCAACTTACATACAGATTCAACTTAAGAACAAACCTACAGTCCCTATCTTGTACGTAACCCGGGGACTGCCTGTATAGAGTAAACTTTAACCTATGATTACCAACTGAAATTTATTAGCAGCAGGTTTAAAACAAATAAAAGGAATTATTTCTTCACACACTGCACAGTCAACCTGAGGAACTCTTTGTCAGAGGATATTGTGGAGGCTAAGATTATAACAGGGATTTAAAAAAAGAACTAGAGTCCATGAGAGTCCATCAGTGACTATTAGTCTGGATGGACAGGGATGGCCTTCTTAGCCTTTGTTTGACAGAAATTGAGAATGAGTGACAGGGGAGGGGCCACTTGATGATTGCCTGTTCTGTTCATTCCCTCAGGGCATGTGGTATTGGCCGCTGTTGGAAGCCAAGATACTGGGCTAGATGGAACTTTTGTCTGACTCAGTATGACCATTCTTATGTGCTTGTTTCATTTAAATGTGTGTTTTCAATCGGTGGTCTAATTTACATTGTTTAAATATTTAGGTTACCCACCTCTTGCTGAAGTTTGGTGCTGATGTGAATGTGAGTGGAGAAGTTGGAGATAGGCCCCTCCACTTAGCTTCTGCCAAAGGGTTTCTCAATATTGCAAAACTCTTGATGGAAGAGGGCAGCAAGGTTCTATATGTAAGTCAGAACTGGCGGTCAGTTTCAGCAGCGGCTGAATCTGGACGCCAGTTCCGACTTACATACAGATTCAACTTAAGAACAAACCTACAGTCCCTATCTTGTACGTAACCCGGGGACTGCCTGTACTGCCTCTATGGTTGTTTGGAATTCATGCATCGTAATAAAGAGGAAATGTGAAGATGAGTGCATGTAATGACAGAAGTATTTGGACATAGGAAATGCTAAGGAAAGACTAATAGAATTAATATTGCTATGGCTCTGAGATGGAACACAGCTTCTCAAGCTGAAGTAATTTTTTCAAAAGAGCACAATAACCTTAGTGTCATCCTGACAACAACATCCTCCCTCCCCAAGTTCTTGTGTTTTTTTTTTCTTTTCTTCAGAAAAAATATTACCAGACCTTTTGAGGATCAAACATCATTGGTAAGTATAGACCTCATTTTATTTAGCTTGCTATGGAACACAAGAGACTATGTAGATACCATCAGTTGTGCAGGGATGCCATAAAAATCATTCTCCAAGGTTCAGTAGAGCTACACCCCAAAAGCTAAGTTACAGGGAATTATTATGCAATTTGGAATAAGTTGAATATCTGTATAATACTAGATCCTGATAGATACTGCTATTGTTTTTATGTTGCCAGGTTTTTTTCCAGTAACACCGATTTATCCGAAAACAGAATCTTCATGATACTATTGTGGAAATAAAAATGTTGAGGTGCTCGAATAGGGATGTAAAATCGTGTTTAATCAGTAAACTGGTTAAACTTAAAATTTAACTAAACGGGGCAGATGGGGAGAGCTGTTCTAGCCTGTAGGGCTGGAGTAGCCTCCCTCCCCTCCATGGCCAGGCTGGAGCAGCCCACTGTGACGTAGTGGGGGTACCTGGCTGGTTCTCTGGGGCACAGACGACCTGTTCCTTGGTCAAGCCCCGTAGTTGACTCCCTCCGTCGCTCAGCCGAGATCTGGTCTCTGCGCGGTTCCCTTTCTCTCCAGGACTCCCGTTCACACCCGGACCGGCTCTCTGTGAACTCATCCGCCAGCCTCCCGGCCTCCTGGGGGTTCTCTGGTCTCCGGTCCTTGAGCCACAGCCTCAGTTTGGGTGGGCATGCTTCATAGAACTGCTCCATCAGGACCAGCTTGAGCAGCTCCTCTGCGGTCTGGGCTCCAACTCCAGACACCCACTTGCGGCAGTATTGCGCCAGGCGGGAGGCCAGGTCCACATAGGTCTCCCGTGGCCCTTTCTGTACCCCCCGGAACTTCTTCCTGTACATCTCGGGGGTCAGCCCGAACTTGTGCAGCAGGGCCTCCTTGACTCGGTTGTAATCCCCTGGCTGTAGGTCCTCCAGCTGACTGAGCACTCCGGCCGCCTCCTGGCTCAGTGCGGGGATGAGCTCCTGCAGCCAGTCAGCTGGGGGAACCCGTTGCAGTCCACAGGCCCTCTCAAAGGCACTGAGGAACCCGTCTATGTCACCCATGTCCTTCAATTGGGCCACCACGGGCCTCTCAAGTTGCAACTTTTCCAAGCTCACATGGGTAATCTGAACCGAGAACAGAGTGTAGGTCCCATGACTCCCATCCTCTAACTTAACATGACCTCTGGACACTATCTGTAGATGTTCAGAATGTTGACAAATATGAAGTGACATTAATAACAATGTGTGTGACAATATTTGGTACTGCTGTCAGTGTGTTATAACAAAGTGTGTGATTGCAATGCATTCTAAAATTCACTACATTTTTTATGGAAGTGTATTTTTGTCAAATTAGTACTTCATTTCACAGACAACACTTTCAATCATGCCTATATTCTTTAAAATTATCTTTAAATTCCATTGTTTCTTACATGTGCACACATACACACACAAATTGACAGTGGTCGTTCTCTTCTAGCTGAGCAATCAGCTGGGCCTTGGTTGCTTTCTGCACAGGCAAGCCCCTCTCTCTGCACAGCTCCACCAGCTCTGCCTTCAAGAGTCGGGCGTAGGCCATCTGCCCGCTGGGCCCCTCGGTGCAGACTCACCAGTCTAGTGCTGCAGCGCCCCACGATTCCCAGGAACCGCTTCGCTCTGTCTCCAGCACGCCTGGCTCCAGGGCTCTTGCTTCTACTGCGCCTTGTCGCTCGCCGCTGGAAGCTCCATCCACGGGGTGCAGTGCATCCCACTTCTGACACCAGTGTGACGGCGCGTTGGGGGTTCCCCATCTCCTGCCCCCCGAAATGGCACAAACAGACTGCACCAGCCGGTGGAATAGAGGAAGTTTATTGCCTCTCCAGGATACAGCACAGCACAGATGTAATCTGGTCACAGAGCTGGGCTAGGATGCCTCAGGCCCCCTTGAGATGGGGGAGACTGGGCCCCTAAACTCAAGCCCCTTTCCCTAGGCTGTCTCCTCCATGCTTCCAGCCAGCAACCCACTAACTCTCCTCTAGCCCTGCCCCCCAGCCAGGGCAGCATTCCACCTTCCTTTGTTCCTCTCCATGGGGGGTGTCTGGCCATACTGGTTTGCATAGTGACTCATCCTGTTTTGCTGGGTCGTGGTACCCACGGCAGCCAGGGGGGGGTACCCCAGAGCCAGCAGCATAGAAACCAGCCAGGTACCCCCACTACGTCACACCCACACAGGCTGAGAGTTGGCAGCAGCACGGGCAAAGGGGAGGGCTACTGGCTCCCAACCCATGAGCCTGTGCAGCAGCCCTCCCCCCACTCACCTGCTGCTGCTTCCGTTGCCCCAGATCCCCTCCAAGGCTGCTCTCTCCTAATATACGAGCCCATTAAGGGGGGTGCTCACTCGGTAACCAGTTACCCGTTCATATCCCTACTCTTGAAAGTGCATGCATTTTACTGTGAAATTATGGCAAGACACAGGATTGTAGAACACTGTTATAATTAAAGGAGTAGGTTATGAAGGGAAGGATAATTTTACACAGCTCTTCTATAAATTCACATCAGGTGATTAAAATTTTAATTATGTAAAATATTCATCTTGGTTTTTTCACAAATAAAAAATCAACAGGAGGAAAAAAGACTGAAAAGAAAAATTAGGGTGGCTTGTAAAAATTGCTTTTCTTAATTACATTTGAGGAGAGAAAAAAAGCATGCATTAAGATGAGGTGCTCTGTGTGGTTTGAGCAGTGTAAACCAGAGATTGTGAATCACAAGTTTTATTCCAAAGTTCACAGATAAGAAATTTCCATTTAAAAAGAGTATTTAAAAATACTTTTTCAGAGTGTGATGGTTCTTGTATACTTCTGACTAAATGTGATTTCAGTTCAGTGCTTTAAAGTCAAATTGTTTTATGCACAGGAAGACAAATATAGGCTAATCTCTGGATTACATCTCACATGTTAACAGTTTAATCAAAATATTAGTTTAAGTACGTGGGCATGTCTGTTTTAGAGTGTCATGGAACAACTTATTTGTTTAGAGCAAAGAAAGCTGGTCATAGGTGGTTGATTATTCATAAGTAAAGCTGCAGTTGAGTCATGGGTATCTTTATTAAGTCATGGATATATCATGAGCAATAAACAAAAAGTCACGATCCATGATCTGTCCATGATTATTTTAATAAAAATACCTCTAATTAAATCTTAGGTGCTGGGGGTGCACCAAGGCAGCCTGGGGCTACCTGAGCAGCAGCTAGTGAGACTAGCCTCAGGGCCACCCAGGCAGTGGCCAGTGTCCAGCTGTACTGGCTGCTGAAGAAGTCATAGAGGTCCCTTCTGTGACGTGCATGAAAGATGTGCAGCCCTATTCATAAGAGATGGGAATTGATAATATATAATCGTGGTTTAAGAACAGGCTTCACTTGAAATGGATTCTTCGAGAAATTGACTCAGATTTCATCAAACCTTTGCTGCCTCAGGTACAAATCAAATATTGGGGCCATTCATTTTTTAAACATTTTAAAGTTTGTGGAGAATGTACTTTTTTCCCCCTATTTTTTGCTGAATGCGTTCTAAGACAATAGAAACTTTTGGATAAACAATTCATTAATTTTACTTCTAGTCCTCTTTGCATTGGTATTACACTGCCATTCCGTGTACTAAAACAGTTTGTTGTGGTAATTGTAAGAAAATGGAGAACACTTTCATCCTTTAAATTACGATCAGTTCTGAGTTCATAGAATGCTCACATTGTAGTAAAAGAGTATTGTATTGAAATGATTGCACTCCACAAATGTTCTAGAGCATGGGATAGATGCCTTTCATAAATCCAAATTTTCTTCTGGAAAAAGAGAGTTCAGAGTAAAATTTTGTTGTTAAACAGTATCACCAGTTGTTGAAAAGGAATTCGGTGAGATGAAGCACCAAAACTTAAACCTATAACACGACCAGTGGCAAGTATGCTCATAAGGCACCCTTTGAAATCACAAGGCAAATGAAGGATGTATTTTAATAGCAGCTTTCATAAATCCAAATTTTCTTCTGGAAAAAGAGAGTTCAGAGTAAAATTTTGTTGTTAAACAGTATCACCAGTTGTTGAAAAGGAATTCGGTGAGATGAAGCACCAAAACTTAAACCTATAACACGACCAGTGGCAAGTATGCTCATAAGGCACCCTTTGAAATCACAAGGCAAATGAAGGATGTATTTTAATAGCAGG